AAAAGTACCACGTTTTCATAAATGTACTCTTTAGATAAATTGTACAATATTTATCAGTTCACTAGTTACAATAAAATCATGCATTATAGCTATTTTTATTTATTTATCCCTGGTGCTTCAAATTCAATTTAGGGTGCCTCAACATATTTAAAAATATGTTTTAAAGCTTTAGGTCATTTTATTATATCTTTCTACCATAAATAATAGCCCGAATTTAGGTATACCAAAAGTTAAAGAAATATAAACAGTTTTTGAGTCATTCAGATATGACTGCCAAAATTGTCACCAACACACATGTCGTGTTTAGGCTAAAATCTAACCAGAAAAGTATTGTCAATACATAATAAAATTTATATTCCATTAATCAATTCCATTCCGCAATTGGTTTGTCTTAAACTCGTCATTTGTGTTCATGGGCATCAGGGTCGAGATGGCAACGTTATATGTTTTATTCGTCTAATTTACTATAAAACATCATTCGGTTTGCCTCACGGGTTAACGGCATATTAATAGCTTTATTCACTGAGATGGTTCCTTTACTTATAGTTTATTTTTCGAATTGCTTTTTGTATTTATTTAAATGGAAATATTAACAACATTCTATAAGTCAATCCACGAACATACCCAATTTCAATATTTGCGTGTTGACCTTTAACATCACACTTAGATCCTGTACGCTTTGTGTCTTACAGTCAATACATGTCATGAAGAACTCTTTAGACATAATTTCTTTTATAATACTTTACTCGTTTCTATTGAGTTGTTTAGCAGAAGTAACCCATGACAACAATATGTTGAGACGACTACGTAACAGAATAGGACGATTCAATGTTATTAAAATGACACAATGACAATTTTAATTTTATTACCAACCCTTTCACAATATTTGAATGAAATATCTCACACGGGGTGTTAATCTGTTTTCAGTTTCTATTCCAATTCAATAAAACATTTAAAACATTTAATACATGTCTTGGCTTGATTCATTATTTACAATTTAATACGTTAATCGTGTATTTTAAATAATACAGTTCAAGAGATCAAAACATTTCCGAATTTATACATTCAACATTACACGTAGACCTAAATGTATTTTTCAAATACGTGTATCGTCATCATCATCGTCATATCACTATTTAACACCAATCATCGTCGCCCGACAATTACCTTATCTATTCAAAGCGCTTGTTTAGTTTTAAATACTTGTGAACTTTACTAAAACTCACTTTGTTGAACGGGTTACTTTCGTTGGTATCGCCATATAGGAACGCTTTTGTATTTATGGATTTAAATGGGAGGGTATTTAATGTTGAGATACGCTGAGACGAATAATTTGGGCAGTGCAGAAAATAATGGTCGCTGTCTTCTTGAGTATGACCACAACTGCATGTCGGGTTATGTGAAATATGCATTAAAACTCTATGGAAGTTTAGAGCACTTTTACAATTACGAAGTCTGGAATGTATAATCTGAAATTTACGTTCTCCATAGTAACATCTTACTGACATCAATAAATACAAAAATATGACTAAGTCGAAAGTCGACAAGACGGTATACAAGCCAAAATGCAAGTCGAAAATAAGAAATTAGGAAAAAAACCGAGGGGCGCTATTATTGCAGTGTATTATTTCTTGATTTCCTATTTTCGAGTCGATTTTGGCTTGTATAGCGTTGCTGTCGCCTCACATTTTGTCGTAACTGCTACTTTTCGACTTTCGTGTTTTGGAGGGCGAAAAGTAGAAATTAAGAATGGTAGGCTTCTATAGTTAGGCGTTTGTATATATGACTGTATACTTGACACATGTACGACCTGAATGGCTGAATGGCCGGTAACCAAATATGTTATTGTGAGTGTTAAACGACATCGTAATTATTTTATATTTTGCAAAAAAAAAACAAACAACAAAAAACAAAACAAAAAAACACAAGCCGTGATTGCCATTACTACAATACGGATTACTAAATATACTTTGTGTTCAATTTTATATTTTAATACTGAAGACAGGGCCGGACTATAAATGAACAAGGCGGATCCTTTTGGCTTATATTGAGTAATTATTGCAACGTGTTACAGTTGAAAGTTCCAAAGCATTTTCACATTCCATGTCCGATAAATTTAATCATCATGCAACTACTGATTGGTGGGTCGTCGAAACATTTAGATGCATACATCACAGCACCGTGGTTTAGACAACTTGCAATTGAACTAGTTTTAATGTTGTACACATAATAAAAGAAACTGTGTTATTTCACAGCTGAATTCTATGGTAAGAACCGTAGAACCACCTTGTAGGGAATAACTTTTAAAATTTAACACCCTATACACACTCTGCCAGCGGCATCTTTGACCCACACTCACTTAACCTTAATCCAAACTTTAAATCTTTCAACGGTTTAACAAGAAGGTGCTAAATATTTCCATTTAAATAAATACAAAAAGCAATTCGAAAAATAAACTATAAGTAAAGGAACCATCTCAGTGAATAAAGCTATTAATATGCCGTTAACCCGTGAGGCAAACCGAATGATGTTTTATAGTAAATTAGACGAATAAAACATATAACGTTGCCATCTCGACCCTGATGCCCATGAACACAAATGACGAGTTTTAGACAAACCAATGGCGGAATGGAATTGATTAATGGAATAAAATATTTATTATGTATGGACACTAAGTTTTATGGTTAGACTTTAGCCTAAAAAAACATAGGCGCTGTGTTGGTGACAATTTTGGCAGTCATATCTGAATGGCTTAAAAACTGGTTATATTTCTTTAACTTTTGGTATACTTAAATTCGGGCTATTATTTAATATATATATTGATCAACTTGCTCTTCTTCTACTAAATTAAAGATTCGTGTGGAGATTCTGTCGATATAATCATATATTTATATCTACTCTTTCTTAAAATGGAGACGGTTAGTAAAATGGTCTTCTTTACGTTCCTAAATATCAGTATGACCTTAGTGAATACCGCACGATTACGATCCGTTCCAGACTGATAACTTTACGTTCCTAAATATCAGTCTGACCGTAGTGAATACCGTACGATTACGATCCGTTCCATACTGATACCTTAATTATAGGCTAATTATAGAGCCTTCAATTTCAAACACATTTTTATTATCATATGCTCTTATTTTTTTTTCATCATTATATGATTAACATTTCCTAAACTTTACGATTTTCAACTTTTTTTTTAAATAATAGTCCATCTCTGAGACAACAAAAACGTAAATAAATGGAAGATAAAAGCAAGAAAGACAACCCTAATAAAGGAGTCAGCTAGTAGGCCTAATTCTCTCCCCCTAATTGACTTCTATTTTAAATCCATGATGTAATTTTCTTGGTCTATGATATTTCTTTGAACATTTCAATGATTTTTTTCTTTATAATCACAGAAAGCCCAACATAGAAAAAACCTCAATAAGTATACCGGTATTGATAAACAACAGTTTTAAGCAAAATATGGTTGTTTTGGGTTATTCTACGGGGCCATACGATGATATTATAACCTCCTTTGTCGGCCACATTACAATACACAATATATATACTTTCTAGGACCAATCTATGAGACTATTTTGGTATCCATTCGTTATCTAGATTACTAATATTTGATCTATGCTATTTCCTATCAATGCATTGGCCGAGAAAGTTCATCAGGATTTTCCAGCGGGGTTTCCCTTTGTCAGTGGTGCAGTTCAAACGGAGGGCCTGAGAAAAACAGATGTCTAGTTATTCAGATTGGACAAAAAAAACCCAAGGTCCGTGTGTCCCTTGGCTGTTGAAAGTCGATACATGTATAACAATAGGCCATAGTTCCGCTGGCTGGGCAAAATTTCCCTCATAGCACATTGTATGGCATATGCCCATACTTATCTAAGCATTAAAACAATCAACCATTTGTGGTTATATTGAAATCTGTAAAGGACGCATTCTTTTTGAATATATTTCAAAGTAGGTTTTGCTTCATTGGAAAAAAAAACATATTAGTAACACCTTTTCAACAAGCAATTGTTATACTTTTAGTGATTTGTAGAGCGTCAAATCACAATGTTATTGTATTTTTTTAAATTGTAGATTTTATTCATTCATGTAAAACATTTACTACAATCTTATAAATAAATGTATAAAACACTGAGTTCTAGATTCAGATCACAAATCCACCTAAGCTAGAAAACTGCAAATCCGAATATTTTTGTTTATAAAATATTCACTTTCCATTCAATAAATATTCCAGTCATCTAGTTTTGGATTTGGGGAAATTCATTCTCCTTTTCCCATAAATACAGATTACCGTATTATTTAATAATCAAACCAAACAGCATGTAATCAAAGCGCGCTTGTATCCGCCGTATGTGACATTGTTATGTTTTGTTTCGCTTGGGAAGCGTTTATTATACACAATAGAACTCCAGTGTAGTAAGCCATAACTATGAACAATATCATGTCCCAAATAAATAATGTAATTTGTAGATCTGCAATTGGTCACATGATGGTCCGAACATTATTTGTATGGCTCTATTTGTTGACAGCAAATACCGCTAATAATTATCTTGGATAAAATACCTCGTTTAGTAAACGAGGCAATTTTACCCAGCCTCGTTCTGAACAAAATACCTCGTTCCAAAAACAGGGCAATTTAAAAAACCACGTTTTGGAACTCCAGAGAAACGAGGTATTTTTTTTAACCTCGTTACAACGAGGCAAAATCGGGGCAAAAATTTTGACACGTTTTTGCCTCGTTTGGACAGAAATGCCGAACGAGGCATTCTGAGGTTTATAGTGTCAATGTTGATTTAAACCGACAAATAAATCGTGTTTTCAATGTGGAAGATTTTGGATGATATTGAGTTAGAGACTTAGCTACTTTAATACTTTAAGTGGTTTATGGGCGGCAGGTTATACGTAGTATTTTAGAACACCCGGTGTCATTTCTCATAAACTGCTTGAATTTATACGGGTTTACAATATTATGCAATTGATATTTTTATTGATAGGTGACTACAAACTGGTAATACAGGGATCAAGTCCTTCTTTAATAGATGGTCTGGACAAGGCAGCGTCAGAGAAGAAAACTAAATGTGTTAAATATTTCATGATGACACCAACTCCAGATGTTAACCTAGCATGTCAAGACAACAAAGGTCTAATGATATTTGCTGACGTAAGTTATGACGTATTATTATAGATTGAAGGAATGGACGAATCAAATGGGATTAACGTCTTGTTGATCGTCTATTTAGGACAGTCATGTTTAGACTGATATCACGTCGGTGGAAGCGGACGTAAAAAACAAATAACACACACACAGACTGATATGTGTCAAGGTCAAGGGGACTGACCAGTGGCGTTCCCACAATCAAGACCATTTCCGTGTACTGCCACGGTAAACCCAAATCGTACCCAAACACATGCTTTGAATATGGCCTCCAGAATTGAAATACAATTGTACTAGTCGATACTCTAGAGAATGCGTAATACTATGGTGCTTACTCTTTCCTGAATACCTAACATTTTTCATCTTTTACGAGTTCACGCATCAATCACTTTTTCCACCTACTGAACACTTTTGTGTATATAAACGCAACTAACTTTATATAAATATCATCTGAAAAATAACCAGAAACCCCCGTAGCAGCCAATGTAGAATGCATAACAGGAAAGATGTGCGACGAGCATTTTATTCTTGAAATTAATCGCACCGCCGAGGATTGGACCTTTTCGGTGGAAGGTTCATTAGTAGGGAGTCACAGTTATTGGGTCTTGGATATATCAATGAACTGACCAAAGTGCGAGACGAACTTTCTAATTCACCACTATTGCGTGTATGATAATAGCAACCTTTACAAAGGTTACTGACATGGCAATGTTAGAATCAAATATGTAAGACTCTAACAACCAAAAAAATTCGCGATGGACTTGCAACTATGTCTCAAATTCTGCATACAGATAAAATTTGAAGATCTCAAATTCTGCATACAGATAAAATTTGAAGATCCTAAAGACTTTATCTACGGATAGCCCCCCCCCCCCAAAAAAAACACAAACCTTTCTTGCATACCCCCCCCCCCCCACACACACACACACAGACATCAGGAACAAAAATATAAGAAAAATAAAATAAAACGTCAATATCTTGATTATCTTTCAGAACAAAGTTGTCTTGGGCAAAAAAGATTATTCAACTCTGTCTAAATTATGGGAAAACCAAAGACATGATGTGGAGCGAGAACATGTCTGGGAGAACTCTGTGTTGACCAAGTTCCAAAATGACACCTACTTCCAGGTTCTTGAACACGGAGACAACCATAAGATTGTCGTAGGAGACAGTAAAAATGTGAACATCATGGTAATGAACGATGGCACCATAACCGAAGATGAGGAGCAAGCAAGGCTGTGTCATCTTCTAGGTATCTGTCACCCAGAAGACAACACTCGTGTAAACCCACAAAGCTTCCAGCAGACGAAATACGGACAACTCTTTGTGAACCTCCATGTACCGCTAACCGATGGAAAAACACGTGAAATCTATCTTACCCTCTCTACTTCCGACAAAGGTGAAACCAAGGGTCAACAAATATCCATTGACCCCAGACGACGTTTCAAGCGACAGACGACAACAGGACCATGGACGCAATACTCGATAAATGACGAATATCTGTTTCCTGATTACAACCAGCACGACCACGACTGTAAGAAAGGTTGGTTTTGGAATAAGAATAAGGTTAAATGCTGTGCCGTTGGGTGTGGCCCCGTTGCCTGGGCAATGGTCCTAGGGTATTACGATAGAAGATCCCATGATAAACCCGCCACGTACAATACCGGAAGTCAAGGACTCTTCCGATGCGGCACAGACGCAACTAGTGGTTCAAACAGTTGTAAAGCCCCTTCCTCTACAACTACGCAAGTGAAGAAATTGACTGAATATCTTAACAATGTGTTGGGAACCTTTTGTCTGTCTGGACAAGGAGCCACGACACAAGGAAAGATGAAGAGATTTGAAAATTATTTCAAACCTCGACAAACTTCTGGCAACCCAAGCGTTACTGTTAATTCTAAGGGTCTTTTAAGCTTTGTCGGTGCATATAACGACGGAATCAGAAATTCTGGTCTTGCGTACATTAGAGCTAAGTGGCCTGTCGTTGTGGGTATACGGGTAAGTGGTATATTCTCCCAGCATTACCCCGTTGCCACCAAATATCGTAGCCGATGGCGAAAAGAATGCAAAAAGAATTTTTGGGGTAAAACTAAATGCACGACTAGTACACAGTACGATATGTACGTTCATATGGGTTGGGGTGGCTCTGGCAATGGCTGGAGAGCGGCTAAAATGTTTATGGCTGCTGTTGCCAGGTATTAATACAGAATCTTTATTTTTATAAATCCCACCTAGCCATTCCCGTCCCTACAGAATAATATGTTTTTAAAGCTTACTGATTGTTTTATTTTTGTCACATATATACCCGGTCAGTGTCGATACAAATGTGCACTTTACTTACTCGTTTTGTTTTTTTTTATCTTATGTTAAAAAAATCTTTGCTTATAAAGAATATAGATATTGATAGCACGTAAATAAACAAATGTGTACTTTACCTACTCGTTCTTTTATCTTATGTTGGGGGTCTCGGTGACTGAGTGGGTAAGACGCTGGCTCGCTAGCCTGGAGGTCGGGTGTTCGATCGTAAAAGATCTATTGACAGTTGGGCAAAATTTCCCTCATAGCACACTGTATGGCGTATGCCCGTCTTCATTAGCCCAGTTCGGAGCAGAACAGTAGGACGTTAAACTCTACTTCATTTCATTTCGTTTATCTTATATTAAAAAAAATCTTTGCTAATAAAGAATATATATCTTGATAGCACGTAATAATTTAACAATAAAATTCATTGTTGCATTAATTGGCCTCCAGAGATATCAATACGGATGAGAAAAAGGCAAACAGCAAAATCAATTTCAGAGCTAGGCGGTCAAATTAAAATAAGATTCCCCCGGAGTACTTATTCCAATCTATAGTATCACGAGAAAGTCCCGTGTTAGATCCCGGTGTTGGCCGTGGAAGTTCATCAGGATGTTCCCTTGCCAGTGGTCAGAACGAAGGGCCTGGCAAGGGACAAAGCATAGTCTTTCCGATGGGACGAAAATACCTGTGATCTTTTCTATATCAGCACCAGAATCGGAGACGGACTCCAAGGGTTAGCGCGGTTGGACAGGCGAAGTTCAAATATGAGTTGTCAATGGGAAATGCAATTTAAGAAATTTTTATAGAAAATTTTTCCCAAAACCAGCTTCACTCCGTAGAATCCGAAAGGGTGCTTCTACTGGGATGCAGAATTACGCTGCTCAGCTAGGAAAGGGGATACAATCAGTCTTTTCAATATTTCTACAGGCAGCGAAGGGATTGCAGACGAGTTATTTGCCCCTGAATTTGGTTATCTTGCTTAGTATGATATAATTAGGCATTTGGTCTCAGCTTCATCTTTTTTTGAAAGCAATTTTTCATGAGAGAGAGAGAGAGCGAGAGAGAGAGAGAGAGAGAGTGAAAGAGAGAGAAGAGTCGAAACCACACCAGTTGACTCAATGGCAAACCTTATGATACAACGCACACGCGCCAGCTATTCGCCCCCACGCCTAAATACGTGGTTCATTCATTCATGAACTCAAATAGTGTCCCGATTGAGAAAGATTATTTTAATAAATTTTAAAACAAAAAGCTCATGGAAATAAAGACTAAAAAAATATCATAGACAAAATGGAGGAATCTCAGAGGGCAGAGGTTGTGGCGGATACTTTGGTCTTATTAAAGGACAATATTGGTGCCAGTCATTATCACATATGTGATAAAACTGGTTAAACCCGTTCCAAATATTATTTTATCACAGCGATCATTGCTACGACAGATGAGTAATCAATGCTTCAACAATCGGAAGTGACGAACGCAAAAGGAAAACACGAGTTATCCCTCTATATAACTGATTTAAGTGACGAGTGATAACAGATACATGGGCCAATTTCTGCTCACTAATAATTCCTTCGAAGACCAAAAGTTGTTATATGAGACTGTAAGAGTATACATCTGACAATTCAAAAAAGTAATTGAATGTCATTAGATAAGAGAACACGTGAAAAATATTATAGAAACAGTCCGTACATTCACGTCTGTTTATTCATTCTATACATATAAAAACATGGTAATGCACGGACTTTTTCTATTTTTCTTTCATGTTCTCATGTGACAGTCAATTTTTTATGAATTGACAGATATACTTTTACAGTCCCACACAACAATATTGTCCTTTAAAAATGAGAAAAATCGTGGTGTCAGCGGTGATTTTAGGCGCATCTGGCCACCACTTTTGGAACAAGACTATATAGGCCTGGAATGAGCGCATGTGTGGTAATACATGACTACGAACACATGGCAAACCGTATGCTATACACCCGTGCATGGGATTTGATGATATATTTGGACCAAACACACATTTAAACTATTTAACTATCACGCGTTTGATTCAAATCCCTCTGGAAATATTTTACTCGGAAGACAACTATCCCAAGTTGTGAATATCCACTTTAAGCAGCCTTGCTTGTCAGGTGACTTGTTTGAGGGGGGGGGGGGGGGGGTACATTATACAAGTATGTCTTGGAATATCATCTGGCAAAATCTTTTTCCTACTTTTAATCCAAAATCTGCAGTACTTTTAAGTCTCTCACTTTTCTGACTACTGATAGTTACTATTACATGTAGTTCTTTCCAATAATATTGGAGTTCTTTCCCTTGTGTTCATTCCTTTTGTTATGAGTCATTTCCCTTTATTAAATAACACCTTTGACCTTCTGGTGAGAGGTGAAACTAAGATGGAGTCGTTAATGAGTTAGAAATGAAATGAAATGGAGTTTAACGTCCTACTGTTCTGCTCCTAACCTGGGCTAATGAAGACGGGCATACGCCATACAGTGTGCTATGAGGGAAATTTTGCCCGGACAGCGGCACTACGGCCTACTCTTATATCGAATTCCAACTGCCAAGGGATCTTTTACGTGCACGCCAATGTGTACACGGGACCTCGGTTTTTCGTCCCATCCGAACGACTAGACAGCTTTCCTTGTCAGCCCCTCCGTCCTGCATCACTGACAAGGGAGAACCACGCCGGAAAATCTGGATGAACTTTCTCGGCCAATGCAGGGATCGAACACCCGACCTCCATGCTAGCGAGCTAGCGTCTTACCCACTTAGCCACATGATCCCCGTTAATGAGTTAGCTTAGAGAATATTACTGAAGTATTAATCCATCAACATCAGAATGACACCCCATTAACTGATCCAAACACCACTACATCTAGCCATTCGATCAACAAAATCAAACATTTCCTACGTCATTCAAGCGAACATGCTGCCAGTTAGTGATCCCCTTACATTTTTATCCTGTGCGCGACTCAAGGGTATTTTCAGGAAACCCAGTATTTTCTATTTGGAGTAGATGTCTCTAATTTCCATTTATATATCAAATTATTGGAAATAACCACCTTATAATTAGTCTCATCGGTATACATCTTTAATTAATTGAGTATCAAAATTCAACATAAATTATGTTCTTGGCATAGGAGTCTCTAATTTATTAAAACGCTCAATGGCACGCCAAGTATTATCCCAAAACTGTCTCATCTGAGAATATTTAGCCAATATAAACATATAATTGTTGACCTCGGATGTAGTGTCACGTTCCTTCATATTCTCATACGCATGGTGGCTAGCCATTTTAGTAAATGGTATATTTGCTTGTAGATTAAGAATTCCTGTGACGTAAAGATCATCCACCCAATAATATTTCATTTTTCTTGACACATTTAGAAATCGAGCAGCTACATCCGGTGTTATAATGTATGCGAATCCCTCGCAATATCTCGGATATAGACCAAACGGGTAGTCTTTCTCCGGGACGTACCATTTGTCTCGCCTGTCACGCACTGGCCGATGAAAGTAATACGGAGAACAATATAAAAAACGATTGGTTGGTTTAGTCACGTGTAGGTAGTCCACCATATTGTACAAATTGACCATTGTATCATCATCAGCTTTAAGTATGTATTTCACATCCGGGCAATTATGTGTAATCCACGATAAAGCCATTATATGTTTGTAAGTTAAATTTCTATAACTATCAACAAAATCACCCTGGACTATATCTCCATGCGCTCTCGCCTCTGTTTCAATTTCTTGTTGAAGTTTTTGATTGAACGTTGCGCCTAAAACAAAGATGGCGGCTATGAGCTCGCCTCGTATATTTTTAACCTGACCCCAAGTATTTCGAATTAAAACACGTTCTTTTCTTTTCTCTGTTGCACTGTGAATAAAAGCTACGACATACAGTTTATTCTGTTCACAAACCTTAGAATTAAGAACATAATTAAAATTATGATGGTTGAGAAGGTCGTTCATCTCGTCGTCAGCAGCTGTGAAAAAAACAGTTATGTTTTGATTTAAAGTTTGTGTGGGTGAATCGTGACGAGGGCTATTATGCAATTGTTTTGGTTGTTGTACACTGACGCGACGCCATGAATTGTTTTTATCTGAATTGTTAAACGCTAGACCAGAAATTGCTGCATTTTCAAGAATTGTTAAAACTTCTATTGATTTTTTCACCTTAGAATTAAGTCGATTGACCGCCGACGTTTCATTCTTGATCACACTTTGATGAGATTTTTTGATGGAAGTGAGTCTTAAATCATTATGGAGCGGGCTTCCAATCACATAAATTACCAGGAGAACTCGGATTAAGAATAAAATAAATAAACAAGCTACTGTCAATAAACAAGAACGCCTGGAACTAACCAATCGGAAATATCTGGCAAGCATCAACCCCATCCTTTTAAAGCTCAAAATCTGTAAAAGAAACTTGGACAATATATAACTTGTTTGATGTCTTTATCGTTAATAAAACATTGAAACCACCGGCTAGATCTAATTCTTAAGGCCAACTCAATATTTCGTCAATGTCGCTGAGATGTAAATAAGGTTAGGACACGTGGTTGTTGGCGAGATTGTAGGTAAGGGTTAGGTCCAGGGTTAGGGCTGGGATTAGCGCTAGCCCTGTTTGTATCTCGTGACCTTTGACCAAACTTGAAGTTAGCCTTATGAAATAGATCTAACCTGATACCACCACAACTAAATTTATTTTAGTACATGGTTACAGAGCCCTCTTTATTCACGTGAGAGCACTCTAATAGCAAGACCTTACTATATGCAACATAACTTACAGGCTATCGGGGACACATCCGTCTAGTCGTTCGGATGGGACGAAAAACCGAGGGCCCGTGTACACATTGGCGTGCACGTAAAAGATCCCTCGGCAATTGGAATTCTATATATGAGTAGGCCGTAGCGCCGCTGTCCGTGTGTATTCCCGTCTTCATTAGCCCAGTCGGAGCAGAACAGTGGGGCGTTAAACCCCATTTCATTTCAGCTCATTTCGCTATCGGTGACTATATTTAGAGATCCACGCCTAAACATATAATTCGTTTAAGGAAAGTGAGCCAAGATGACTCTTTGGGTAAGGCACTATCTCAATAAACAGGTTATCTTTGGTTCCATCCCGGTCTTGGTCGAGAAAGTTCCTCGGGTTTGTTTGTAATGTCAGGATGGTGGATGTTGCTAGGAAGGAATAACGGTCTACTCATTCGGATGAAACGAAATTTCGATGTCCTTTGTAAATACTCATACTTTCAAAGATGGTGGGATTCGCTGCTGGTGGGCGTAAAGTATATGATTAACCAGCACAACCCCAGGACTCTGAGAATACCCGCGAGATTGGACAGGCGATTATACTCCTTGGGGTCGGAAACACAACGTATAACTCAATGACAGACCATATGGTTTAAAGCGCACGTTCACCCTCCCCCCAATACAAAACTGACAACTACATGGCTTATATTTGGAAAAAATACTTACTAAAGATATCCAGTCTGTTCGCAATCGGTCAATAATTAATTTCTGCCGTATACGTGGAATCTTTCTTTTACACTATATACACATAACGCATTATATATTTACAATAATCCACGACTGCAGTTTCATACAGATGGCTACAATAACAGAAGTACATCGACCGTTCTTAAGCCTTTGTTCAACAGGCTGTTGTATATAATTTTAACAGATATCGTCTTATAAATAAATATTTTATTCTAAGTTAATCAATAAGGCCACTACTTACACGGTATATACTAATATATATGTACACAACGGTCGATGTACGTCTAATAGTCTAATATTATATATATATATAATATATCGACCGTTGTGTACATATATATATATATCAATAATTAATTTAACTCCAACAGACGAAAATCAAAGTAAGAACATTTGATTGCTCCGTAGCTTCATCACTGCTGATTTGGGCCAGGCATAGAAATGAAAATGAAATGGAATGGGTTTTAACTCTTAATTTTCGGCTCCGACTGGGTTAATGAAGAGATTGCCAACTGCCAAGGTTTCTTTTACGTTCACGCCAATGTATATACGGAACTTCGTCTTTTTGTAACATCCGAAGGACTAGACACTGTCCTTCTCAGCCCCCCACTCCCTTGTCCTGCATCAATGACGAGGAGAACCGCGTTGGAAAATCCAGAGGAACTATCTTACCCCTCACTGGGAGCGAACCTGAGACCACCTAGTTAGCGATCCAGCGTCTTAATCACTGAGCCACCGCGGCGCCCAGACATAGAATCTTTCCTGAGCAGCTTTCTCCTACTGTTTGTACGTCGTGATGTGAACTGAAATGGTGTTTAACTTTCTCCTGTTCTGTATCATTCAGGCTAATGATGACGGGTTTACGATACTTAACCAAAACGATACTTCCAATGCCTAAACGTTTAACTGGATTATGGGAGAGAGAGAGAGAGAGAGAGAGAGAGAGAGAGATTCCTCTTCCCAACTCTTACAGGTCAGAGTTCTCTATATAAAAGATTTGAACCTAATAAACCACGTGTTTACCAAAGGAATTCATAACTCTACATACCTCATAGAATTACATGAAAAATGTACAACTGTTAAACTAATTAGCTTTTTTAACTATTAAAAAAAATCCTATGACGTCAATATTGAAATACGAAACTGTGTATTACCTGTCTAAAGAGTTAATTTTAAAAAGCAACAGCTGTGGTGACGAATTACCCACTTGTTGCCATCGATCTGGGAAACCTACCATGGTACATTAAAGGGAGGTAATTGGCTAATTGCTTATACATATACGTATTACGACCTCGTCTGTAAAATCTGGCTGGGGGTAGGGGCCATGGACGTGGCGAGACCTTTGTGACAGTAGTAAGAACGTGGTGGGCTCATGGTAGGATGGTGGGGAGCGTGCTTTAAAAGAAATTGTGGCGATAGCGTAGTGAGCTCGGGAATTGCTAAGTGCAGCGTACTTAAAGCGGAGAGAATGGCCACACCCTCAGTATGCGCGCCGCGTCTCAACAAAGCTCTTTCTGTGACTAACAGACCGTGCCACGCTCTCAACACGATCCTAAGCTTGTCCTAAAGCCCCCTTCACACAAAACAAGGTCATTGCTGTGCGCTCATCAAGCCGTAGAATTCTATAGAGCGTATTGAGCGGGTGGTAAAGTCGTGGTGCGAGCGTGATGGGCGTTATTCATTATTCATGAACACCCAGTCTAATTAAAATTTCGTTCCGTTTCATTTTTAGGTTATGTACTCAACTTCACAAAAAATGACAACTCGGAGCCCCCCCCCCTCCCTAAAACAACAACACAGGAACATCAGTGTTTAATTACATGTAGATTGACGATGATGAACACCAAGTAGGGTACTTTGACGAACCCCGAGCAGAAAAGATGTGGAACGGCATCGTGTCCTCGACAGCTTTTAATTTATTAAGTGAAATAATAATATATCGTTGATATATGGGAATGTATTTCTGTACAGCAGAGACGCGTATTCGCTTAATCGATGCGATATTTATTCAGCCACTCAGTAATTTCAGTTTTGCACAATTCGGGTTTAAAATGAAATGAAATGGGGGTTTAAAATACTTTTCTGAATCTAGCCAGGCTAATGAAGGCGCTGTCATTAAAAAAAAAAAACTATTATATGTATCACGCAACGAACTTATTTTCGTTCTTTTAAACATGCATCATACAAGAGCTAAATCTGCCTATTGCAGGTCTATATTTGGGCCTGAAATGTTATCTAAATTATTAATTAGACATTAATTGACTTATCCAGACCATAATCAACTCTCCATGTCATCGCTAGCCTGCGATATTTACTGGATCTGAATACATTTTGTGATGGATAATTTAACGTAAAAATGGACAATCGTGACGACCAAGACTAGCCTAAAATTCAATGGCTAATATCTCGGTTCAGAGCGAAGCAATTTGACAGAAATTGTCAGCATATTCTGTTTTCATTATCTGTATTTTAAGTATTATAGCGAGAACTGTCAGTTCCTTATCTAATCTTACCTAATGCCCTTTTAATTAATAATAATTATTCATTTGGACAAAAATATTTATTTCCATCTCCATAAAGAGGTATTATAGATTTAAGACGAGGTATAATATAATAGTATTAGTTGTAAAAGTTGTATTGAAAGTATGCATTTACGACCTACTATTAACTCTATCGCTATGAAACGAAACAATAGATGTCAGGCATGTGTCCAGAAGGACCGGCGTGGGGGTCCGGAGAATATTATTTTCTTTCTTGCATTCACCGGCGAAAGCACGACGCATTGTAACCGTTTTGACCTTACCCCACTCTAATTCTATACATGTATGCAGCTAAATGAGCAGAAATCACCTAGACCTCACGCCAAACAACCTTGAACTTCCACTGCAATCTGGTTAAAACACAGATCCTATTTCGTTTCGTTTTTATAGTTCAAAATTTCGTTTTACTTGTCTTTACTACACTTGGATCTGAAAGAGTTGTTATTTAACTCGTGTTCTGAATGGTGTCAGGGATAAGCAATGAAACGGTCTGTCACGACGAGCTTTAGGCGTGTTTTGCACGGAACTGTGGGTAATCCACTAGTAAAATCAATGCTGATTGGTTAATTAAATGTCTGACATCATAGGGTCATAAGTCGGTCTTTTGACCCCTGACGTGACCTATCGCTATAACTTGTCAGATCTTCATGTAGTGTAGGCCATCGAAAGTATAAAAAAACGAAACAAAATATTGATCGGTATTTTAATCAAATTGACTTCCACTGCTGACATTCCAGGACACGCCCCTGGATGTCCGATTCAGACGTTGACATTCCTTCAAAAGTTTCGCAATAATACACGTTCAAGACTAGTTGATTACATATGTAAAGATCAACAATCGGTGGTAATTCTAGCGCCGGATATGTCGATATTCTACCATCGCACAGGCACAAAATTACATAAAACACGAAACGACCAGTATCACGGACTGCGCACTAATAGACACCTTTTATGTCGCAGTTGGTTCCATAAACGATTGTGATCTTTTATTCAGTTCCTTTACGTCTTCAAGTAAATTCTGTATTTCTTTCTGTCGCATTTCGGATTGCTTACATGCCCGGCTTAAAGTTCCTACAAACGTCGTTTCCCTACTGGACTGTGGTTCTGGACTTGCCGCATTCAGTATTATATTTGGCATATCGACCACTATGCGAATCCTTGATGAAGCATCGTCAGAAGCATTTTCACAATCTCTGTCACTATCGTGATCATAATTATCGTCAGAATCCAATAAATATGTTTCGAAAATATCACTTTTCTTAGTAGGCCTATTTCTGTAGATTGGCTTTTTTGTTTGGAACGATAAGGCGCTATCAGATTTGTACAACATTTTTGGTAATGGTTTCGAACGTCTTGGAGTAACCGTTACATGGGAATCTTTGGTGGACTTGATTCGTTGGGACTTCCCTGTCGTTTTGATCGAATTGACGCTCCGGTCGGTTGTAGGAGGCATGCTGCACAAAAAGAAATGCTTATTCAAATAATCAACGTCGATTCTGTCCCCGTCAGTGAGAGACTCAAATTTTAGTCTATGTGATTTCAAAGAACGGGGACGAGGACTTTCGGATACAAGGGGACGTAATCTATGCCGTGTAGTCACCTTCTGGGCAGGGCTATACTTCAAACTCTTCAATGTATGGCTTTGGACTGCTAGTTCCTCTTGTCTCCCGGCTTTACGTCCGATCGATGGTATGGTTGGTCGGACCTGAAGGGGAATCCTAGAAAGGTTTATTCTTACGGTTTCATTGACTCTTTGTTTTTCGCTTAAAAATGATGGACTACCTTTCGTTATCAGTTTGTTTCGCCTTGGTTTAACGGGGTCTAACAACTTTTTACCTTGTACAAGAGGTGGCAGGGGTGGCAAAGGACTGGACTGTTCAGGTTTTATGTTATTAAAGGAAGTCACCATACATCGTTTCGGCGGCTTAAAGAACCCGTTGCTGGCTTGATATTCCATTTTTAATCGGTATCTTTCACTTTCCTGCGTAAGTGGAGCTAAACCAAATCTTTCGACATCTTTGGACAACTTTGCCTGTTCTTGTACTAAGGCCTGATCTCGAAGATAAGACGGACGATCTACATACACCGATTGGTGACCATCCGTGTCACGTGAATCCATCAAACAATCCCGTTTAATTATCACAGCTCTTTCCATAAACCTGAAATATATTTAAAAAAAAAGAAAGAAATTAAAGACGCCGTAAGTCTGCCTATTGCGGGTCTTTTTTCTGACCCTAAGTGTTATATGAATTTTTATTTATAACGGAAGGGTTTAACGTCCACTCGACACAAACTAGGTCATTTCGATGCTAACATATGTTTCATTTTCATTTCAATAATTCGGTAGCAGTGGGTGGAAACTGTAGAAAATCCACAAGATTGGTCAGAAGAAGCCTACTCTTTGTCATGTACAAGCGAGGAGTCGACAACCATACGATTTGCCCCCCCCCCCCACCAAAAGACTCTCCCCCCCCAAAAAAAAAACCCCCCAAAAAACAAACAAAAAACAAACAAAAAATAAACAAAAAACCAAAAAAAAAACCAAAAAGAAACCCAACAAAAAAACAAAGAAAAAAAACAAAAAGAAGAAGAACAACAACACAAAAACCAAAAAAAACGAAAAACAATAAAACCCCGAACATGACAAGCCACCATTCAACTATCTGGGCCTTCAAAGGGCTGCGATTGTTAGGTGATTGTAGCATAACACGGTGATTTAAGAGTTAAACGATGAAATAGAAAACCGAGACTGGAGACTTCGTCTCTATTGCCAAGCACCGTTTATACCAAGCTTTACGCTATATTTAGTCAAAACTTCAAACACTCTTAACGCGGTTAATATGTAATTTCGGACTATAAACAAACAATTCGCACATCTTGTCAAAACTACAAACAGTGATAACTTGGCCCAGAATAAAGTAATTGGAATGAAATTTTCAATAAATTCATTTTGCATTATCTTTTTTTGAACTATTATAGTAAAAACGACCAGCTCTTTATCTAAATCTTACATCGATATGGGGATGAAGTTGTCATATCATCAATATATTTATAATGAAAAGCAACAGATACACATGATCTGTCTCTTTCTTTGCACCTAAAGCGGAGAAGGTACTGCTGGAGGGGGTCACGGTGGCTAAGTAGGTAAGACGCTGGCTCGCTAGCCTGGAGTTCGGATGTTCGATCCCTGCATTGGCCGAGAAAGTTCATCAAGATTTTCCGGCGTCGTTCCCCTTGTTCTGATGGGACAAAAACCGAGGTCCCGTGTACAAATTGGCGTGCACGTAAACGATCCCTTGAATATGCCGTAGTGCCGCTGTCCGGGCATAATTTCCCTCATAGCACACTGTATGGCGTATGCCAGTTTTCATTAACCCAGTTCGGAGCAGAACAGTAGGACGTTAAACCCCATTTCATTTCTACTGGCGAATCTTATAAACAACGTTGGGGCCAGCAAAGATCCCTGCGACCGACCGGTTTGGTTTTTAACAATTCGTATATTTTTACAAGAATACCGCTCGTCTTATAAAAACCATCAAACCTAAAAACCTAAATATTTATTCAAAGACTTCTTACCCCATCCATTGACTAGTCATCGTCATAATTCCTTCTACAGAATTATCATAAGATTATAACAAAAATATGGATCCACTACAAATAACATTTATAACGTGCCCTTGATCCTGTCACCAGCCTGGTAACACAATATATAGATATATATGAATTTATAAATACAGAAATATGATTTCCACTTAGACGTATGTGAATCTAACAACAATATATATCGTTCATACAAACAATACACATGTCATACATTTGTAACACAAAACATTAGAATGTCCTTAAAACCCGTTCACCTTATTCTTTATTCACGACCTTGTATTATAAGCAATTGTAAGCAACTTTTATTTGTTGGGTCGGCTTTGAATATGCGAGAAAAAAGAAAGTAATTTAAATCTATATATTTTCCAGTGTATAAAGGTGTCTTAACAACGTGAGGATCATTTTTATGCTATTATAACCCAAAGCTTCAAATTGTATATATATATCTCGATTTATTCTCCGCCGATATCATAAACGTATAAACCCAACCGGTATACCGGGCATTTTATATAAAAAATATATATAAAATCTTTTATTTTGTCATTCGGTATGTAATATCTATCGGATCAGTAATTCTATAATCTATTGTTTGGATATTTTGAGAATTTCAGTTTGAATACAATATTATTATTGATGGTAATAATAATAAAGGGAGATTACTCAGTGAAATTGGATTAATACTTTGTTATTATTCAGATTAATCATTGAATATACTTCTCGAGCATGCTAACATTATTGCGTCTGACTCGGTGTTGCCCTTCCGATTATTTAAAGTTTATTATAGTTCGTGCGTACACTCGAGCTTATCCGATTCACAACGACAGTTCGACGCCTTTCGTGTCAAATCTGCTTATAATTAAATGAAATGGGGGTTAACGTCCTACTGTTCTGCTCCGAAAAAGTCTGCTTATATATTATCGAAAACTAATTAATCTATACGTGATAAGTAGAATACCAATGCGTTTTCCATTGAAGGATTGGAGAAGCTGCTGTTGTTCTTGTTGTTTAACGTCCGCTTTCACCGATGGTGATATCGCAGACAAGTTGTCATCTTATTGTTGTTATTACCTAAGCTCCCGCTTTCTTTCGTGTGGGAGGAAACCGGTTTAACCGAAGTAAATCCAGCAGATTGAGAAGGCGCCCCATATCTCCCATCCACATCCATCAGGGATCGAAATCCCGACCGCAAGCCAGAGGAGATCATCGGATAAGTTGTTGCTTGTCTGGTTTTATTATCTCGTGTCCAAACCCAATATGGTTGCAACATGACTGACTGATGTACCTTTTAGCATGCAATGCGTTTTGTTGGTCTAGCTGATGTGTGTGTGTGTGGGGGGGGGGGGGTCTGGTACCTATTTCGCAGTTATGGTCATGTGCTTAAAAAAAACCCAGTCACTATACTGTAGCTGATAAAACTGAATGTTATATTCGGGTCAATATAGGCATCACAAAGCCCCATTGAAACCCCGATGTTTTCAAATTTTCCTCTGAAAAGGACCCCTCAGTTCTTAAACAAATATCCTGCGTACGCCACTGTTCGTCTGCGTCGTAAGTAGACTCAGTCTCATGATTCGCATTAAAGTCAGGGGCAATAACTCTGGAAATACTTGATAGAGACCACATTTACCTCAATACTAACCTTTTCTTAGAGTTGGACTATAAAGATCGGCGAACAGGGGCGGCGACAATCTGTATGCATTGATTTCTATTTTGAAAACATTTTGTTTTAAATTATAAGTAAATAACAGAAAGCTGTTACTGTCTCGTCTTAAAGATAATACCGTAAAGAGCCGCCGTGACTCAGTGAGTAACACCCTGGCTCACTAACCAGGTGGTGTCGGGTTCGTTTCCCGGTGTCGACCGAGAAAGTTGCCCAAGACGAGGTTTCCCAATTGGCAGTGGTGCATGCTGGACGGGGGCCTGGCAAGGAATGGAGACAAATGGGGTTTAACGTCCACTTGACATAAACTAGGTTATTTTGGGGCTAACATATGGTTCAATTTTACTTCAATACTTTGCTTGCGCGTAGGGGTCTTTAGCAGTGGGAGCAAAACGGAGGACCCGGAGAAAACAGACGAGGTTGGACAGGCGACCCTACTTCTTAACACGCACAACCGGAGAATCGAAACCTCACCTGCAGTTGACTGAATGACGAAACCTCACCAGTTGACTGAATGACGAAACCTCACAAGTTGACTGAATGACGGACCTAACAACCTTTCCGGTAAGGAATAGCGTCTACTAGTCTGGATGGAACCATAAAAGAACCCCCGACAGTTGGAATTCAAAATAAGAGTAGGCCGTAGCGCCGCTGTCTGGGCAAAATTTCCCTCATAGCACACTTATGCTTATATAGTCGGAGTCGGAGTCGGAGTAGAAAAGTAAGACGTTAAACCCCATTTTATTTCTTACCTTAAGTTCTACCATCAGATCTTATTTTAACCAAATCACTAATGGACTTAATCAACATAATCCTTGTATCATGTAGTTTTAGTACACAGTCGACTTAATCAACATATCATCTAGTTTAGTTTCTTCACACGTAAATTCCGCTGTGCCAGTTTGGTGATCGTAAAATGGATGACACAAAAATAAAACATCTAACTCGACGGACAGAATAGTTATAAATCATTACTACAGTACACCTCAATCGACTATAAAAATAATATGTCGTTCTTGTCTCAAGATGTTCGCACACAACGAGAGCCCTACAATAATACTAAAAACTGATAAGTTGATGGACACAATAAGCCGATAAACCTTCTGGATAAATACATTATCTCGACACAGAGATAAGACTCACCAATATTTCGGTTATATTCACTAACTTAACAACAACACTTTATCATATCCTTTATTTTATCATAAAAGTTGACATTAGGTTTATATTATCAAATGTGATCACACGATTGTCACAAGCCATTCAGGACACAGACAGAGAACTTTCTACTTGGAGAATAGAGCTCTGTTCTGAATGGCTGCCATATTGAAACTTTAGTGTATTATTTTCTTCCGGATTTTAATCCGGTTTACTAAAAAGTAAACGTATGAAAATGGAAGGGGAGTAAACTTATCGAAGTGACCTTAGAGAATTCGACTAAAATCGTCGATTAATGTCGGCCAGCTAGCTTCGTGTCTGTTGTAATTAATTGGAACTAATTGTAGACAGACAGTTTAAGTTTCGTATGTGTTACAAGCCTATTGATTTATAAGTATCATTTTTAAATATACGAAACAAAAATACGATATAAATATGTTGACTACTGAACAATCACAAATGAATGAGAAGTATAGTATGACAAAAACTTAAACTAAAATATTTATGAATAAAGACGTTTCATTGGTTGAGAGTTAAAATCCTTAAATGAATCTTAGCTCTTAGCCAATCAAGAAGAAGCCTTCTCAAAATATTTGAGTTTAAGCATACCTTTGTCATGTACGGCTACTAATGATTAAATATGTATATTTTTCCTTTCGTTTATTCGGCTGGTCTTTTTGAAGTTGTGTGATCAACGCAATATTTTTATTTAGACTGCTGGGTAGCACGTTACCTCGGGGCAATGGCCCATCAGAGGAGAGGATTTAACGTCCACGTTACACAAACTAGGTCATTTCGGGACCAGCATATGGTTCAATTTTATTTTTTTATTTCAGAAATTCGCTTGCGCGTAGGGGTCTTCAACAGTGGGAGGAAACCGGAGGACCCGGAGAAAACCCACGAGGTTGGAAGGCGGCCCTACCCCGGGGAATCGAAACCACGCCATTATATCTAGTCATTTTCCCATGTATCAAATAATTAGATATATCTTTCAAGATAAATAAATAAGGAATTCGTCAAGTAGCAAAAGGTATTTCGGGTTCCTAGTCTATTAGCCCCCCCCCCCCGATAAAAAACCAAACCCTGACTTTATCTACCCAGTAATTTGCCATCTTTCAAGATAAATAAATAATAAAATCGTTAACTTACAGCTGATCTCCATATGAACTGAAGGTAGTTTAGCTATTTGCCAATATGAGGGTAAACGTTTCCGCCTAAGGAGCACTAATTGTTTCAATTATCATCATTGATTATCTAGACGTATGTCATGACAACGATTATCATATTTACACTAATAGATGTCCTTAGTATTAACGGGGGTTGAATGGCCGAATGGTTAGAGCAATGGTTCTCAACTTTTTTTTGCCAACGGTACACCTTGGAACACATGAAAAAATAGCGGCACACCTGGCTTAATATATATGAAAAAATATTTGAATTTTGCAAAATAAAAACATGGTAAGTTATAGACGACATACAACCGTAGACACAGACTAGTCATAAACACATAGGATGACTAAAACTAAATAAAGAAAAACACATCTATGAACTTACTTTATTGCAGTGTTTCGAATTTCATATCAGTCAAATAGCTGGCTTCTTTAGTGAATAATTTTCATAGTGTGCCGTCAAAATTTCGCGGCACACTTAGAAAGATCTTGCGACACACCGGTTGAGAATCACTGGGTTAGAGCATGCGCGCTGTATCATACGGTCTGTCATTGAGTCAACTAGTGTGGTTTCGATTCCCCAGTTGTATGTGACAAGGAATAGGCTCGCCTGTCCAACATGGTGGGTTTTCTCCGGGACCCCCCGGTTTCCTCCGACTGCTAAAGACCCCTACGCGCAAAATAAACTAAACATAGTTTTCTATATTCCAACTAGCCATGGTTTTCTATATATTCAAACTAATCAGTTTTATATGCAAACTAACCATAGACGCACATTATAAGCATTCTACTGAACCGCATGAAAACCACTTTTTTGTATAATGTGTGCGACGTCAAATAAACCTTAAACCGCCTATATATCAATTAGATGGTTTGGTAAATCAGTCTCAAATTTTGCATACATTCCAATTCGCTTTAATCTGACAATATCCCTTTAAAGAAACCATACTCCTTTAAAAGAAAATAAGCAAAACACTTCTCGCTTTCAAGTGCAGGTCGTTATCTCATTATTCGATTAATCGATTCTAACCCATTGTTATCCTGAATAATGTCATCAATGTTATTCAAGAAAGAACTAGGGTAATTTTAAGCTTTTTATTATTATCA